GTACTCTAGTTGCATAGGTTTTCAGTCTAGCTGCTGTAGAATGGCGGCCTCGATTTCCAGATTAGTCAGACACTGTTTTGTGAAAAAACAAGAGGAATTTCAATACAGCAAAATATTGAGTTTTCTCTTATCCTCTTGTGAAAGGCTTGCTGCTCTCTCACAATACGAAACTCCCCAACAGCACGCAATAAAAAAACACATTGAAAGGACAGGAAAAAACACCTCTCTTCACCAAGGTTATTCAATGATAAGCAACAGTACTCAGGCACACAATGACGGCTCAAAGTGCCAGCTATTTTCAAAAGTCATGGAATTGTAGATTTTGTTACTCATAGTCCTTGAGGGTTGGATATTCACTGCCTGAGAGTAACAATATAGATAATCTGTCCAAAGACATTATTTAAAGATGTGGAAGCAGATTCAGTCATAAGGATTTACTGTTGTATGATTTCTTACGGATGAATAACATGTTTATACTCTCGCCCTAAAGCTGTCTACTGCCACTCCATTCAGCCCTTGCTCATAAAGCAAGCAACGAATGACGCTCTCAGCCACAATGCTACATTATAAATAATTTTAAGGGGATGTAAAGAAGGCTACATTAACAAGACAAGCGCAGTGGAATTTTTTTTTTTGCGAGATGCCACATTACTGCAAGGCTTCAACTTGCAGCCACGCTAACACTAGGCATAGTCTATATTTACTGAACTAAAGATAGGGAAATCTCCAATCTTTTAAAGAATTTAGCATGTCTAATTAAAATGTAAACAGTGTAATGAGGACATCAGTGATTTAGGCAAACGTCTCTCTGGCTGCCACTGGGGGTATGATAATTACAGAGGCAAATCTATGAATGCACATGAATCTCCTACAAGTCCAGATTAAAAGCCTTAGTGCTAAACCTAGTTTTGTACACCTGGGGATTGTCTATTCTAGCCAATACCCAACAGGCTCAGAGCTGCCTCTTCTCCTTATGAGTGCAGAAACACCTCATGCGAAGGAGATGAAACAAAGCCTCTGTTTCAATGTGTTGGAAATGAGGAGTTTAAAGCAACAAATGCTACACTCTGTGTAAATGATATGCCTGGCATATATGGCCTAAATAAACCAGCCCTACAGCATGACTTCAGAACGTTATCAGTCATTAAGTGAACCCTAAGCTATATAAGCACATTGTGCATTATGGTATGCATCATAATAACATCATAGGATGAATGTGTGAAAGATTTGTTTCTTAAAAAAGAGAAATGAAAAGAGAACACGCCATTGTGTTTGTTCTCCCTCAAACTGGCTCAAAAATGCACAAAGAGAAACAGACAGGCAGACCAGCATGCACACACACACATACAGTACATGCACACACATACAGTACATGCACACACATACAGTACATGCACGCACACGCACACGCACACACACACACACACACACACACACAAAATCACATTCAAAGACATGCATTCACATAATCCTCAAACACATTTAAATGATAAAACATATGCGACAATACAACCAGAGAAATCTATGGTGCAATTTGAGTTACAGGCTGCAGTGAAACAGTAAGACTAAATATCCACTTGGTTCCTAATATGCAACCCGTGTTGTTTTTTCCACCAGGATCTGTTAAACTAAATTAAACTGTGAGTATTTTGTTTGAGTTTGTTAGATGTAAAATAAATTATATGACAGGCCTGTAGCTAGGAGACACATGAAGCAGCAGAAGTACAAGCAGCCAATGGTAGGCACATGCATTTTCGAAAATCTCTATGCCATATGCTGTCACTCAGAGAGAAAAAAACCAAGTCTGAGCAGACAGTCGCTGTGTCTAAATGAGATGGTAGGAGGAGGAGGGGAGAGAAAGGGAGGATGTCAAGGATTCATGGTCCTTCATCTTTGCAGTAGAGCAAACACATCCCTCAGTATAAGAAACAGACAGCTGCCTCCACTTTCTAATGCAGTCCAACTTAGATCACTGTGAGAATTGTCAGCGTAGAGAGAAACACACAAAGATAACATAGCAGGCTGCCATGAGGGAAACGACAGAGATGTGTATACAAGAGAGGGAGAGACGAACAGAGAAAGAGAAAAAGAGAGGGGAGGGAGGGAGGAACACATAGAATACTTAAAAGAAAGATTGGAGTTTTTTGTCCCTTCTGCTAGCGTCTTACTCCATTGGGGACTCCCTTGCTTTTTATATGAAAAGCAGGAAAGACACCACTTAACATATTAGCTTAAAGATGACAATCCTGCACTGATCTCATACACTATAGTCAAAGGGCTGAAAGGGATTTCCTGTAGTTACTGACAAATAGATCCATCTGTAAAGATGAATATTTCATCAATTTACAACAGCATTGCAGACATCCCAGAGAGTGTTTACACAGAGTCGGCTCAAGGTATTCAGGGGCTGGCTTTAATTGTCATCATTAGTGCACAAATATAAAATGTCGGTCCTGTCATATACCGCTTCCCTGTAGTAATGGCTTAAGTTTTGCTGTCAATAATAATCATCACTAATAGTGTTCAGATTACGGAAAGAACATTTAGAGCAACTACATTGCTTCACACAGACACTATCAAGTCAAGGACTAATGTAAGATGCATATTGAAGATTTTTTTTTTTTTTGTTTTTTTGACCACAATTGTGATGAAGTAACCTAACAGTGAATCGGAATGAATAGTAGTACAGTATACAGTGTATGTAATAATAGTCCTAAGAGTATATAATATAATATATATATAATAATCTAATAAAAATAAATAAATTCAAAATTGCTTTTGGAAAAGTGATTTTTTTTAACCTTATTTTTTTAACTGACTGCATTAAACAAGGAAAGTTTACTGACTGCGCTGTGGAGAGGAAAACCTTTGCTTTGACTACCATCTGCAAGCAATTTCTTTGTCAGTATAACAGAACTAAATATAACGAGTGTATTTCTACATCCTTGTGTCGCTCAAAAATGGGAGGATGCAATTATTAACTTCATACACCGTCTTGCTAATATTTATACTCCCTCCTAAAAGTGTGAACATGTGTGACATTCAGTAAAGAGGGTGATGAAAACAGGAGGGTCAGCATCTGTCGTCAAATTTGGCTCAGAGATTCATGTCAAGCAACAGCTGAGATTGCTATCATAAGTGCTATCCTATCAGAAATAAACAGAGCTGTCAGCTTCTTTCCATGCACACCGGAGGTGTCTGGGGTTAAGTAAGGACCTGCAACAATCACCTAACACGCTGCAGGAGATCAGATATGGAACCCTTCCAGGGTTTGAACTCTGAGAAATATCCTCATGATAATTAGGATATTTAAGACAAATAATCTGAGAGAATGGTTTGATAAAGGCAAGATGATTGTTTTTGCTGTGCAGATGTTTAGTAATTTAAATATAAATTTAATTTTAAGATTAACATACTCTTATAACACATATTTGAACCATAATTTCCACTAAAATTAGGTGTGAACATACGGCAGCATGGAAATGCATGCATCATTGTGATTTTTATTACATAGTACATTTAAACAGATTGGACTGGGTGTTTGAGACTACAGTGAAAAGATTTTTAAAAAACTAATTGCTCCAAACTATTTGCCATCCAGTGCAGTATCCATATCTGAGAAGCTCAAACCAAAGTTCTTTTGTAATAAAAATACCCACCACACATCTATTGGGGGTCTAAATATGAAACATATAAAAATCTGACCAACAAATTTAATACCCACTTTACAAAAACACATTACAACCAAACACTCAAACATAATGATCGTGATAGTAATGTACATTTTTTCCCCCACTGAGTGATGGATGCTGCAATGCTGTTATTTTTGAAGAGGAATGAAAACATACTTCAGCTCACTGCTGATGATGTTAATTTCCTCTCAAAGCAAAACATGCAAATGAAATGTGTGAACACAATTAAGTAAATTGTTCTATGGAGGTGGGAAAGGTTCACTTAGGACAATGTGTTTGCAAAAAAAAAAAACAGCAACTTGTTACTTCTCCTGGCTTTGCATCTCTGATCAGATCCATTTACTGGCTTGCCATAAATTCCACTGGTAGGAATAAAAACTATGTCTGGTGCTGCCTTTGAACTCATTTGTGAGCAAATCTGATTTAGCTTCACTAGTTAGTTGTTATAGAGTGTGACAACCAAATAAAAAAAACATTGACAACTCACTGAAACTTCAAACAAGGCCAAGTGTGAGTTTTCCTGAAAGCCATTCTATATTGCATATGGTTGTTGACAAATAGCCTATACAATAAGAATATTGTCAACATATTGTGGCATTGTTGAATTAAAAGTACTGCTGTTGTGCTATCTACTTTTCAGTTCTCCTTCATATTTATTATTATTGAACACAAGATGTTAGGCTATATTTATATATATATATATAAACAACCTTCATTTCACCAGAGGTGATAATTTTTTAAACCATTTAAGACAGACCCTGAGCTACAGCTACATCAATTTAAGTTGTCATGAGTATATCTTATATAAATTATTTTAAGAGCAAATATTTCATTATGGCTAAATAATGTCAGCAGACTATGTCTCCACACACAAAAAAGAGTGAGTTTGAAATGTAATCTCTTGATGGAAATTTGCAACCCTTCTGGATAAATTCACATCCCTTGTCTATTAGGCAACATAATCATACTGTTAATAGTAATACATGCAAATATATATAAGCAATGTAATATGAAAGAAAAAGTTAAACTGTACATAAAGAGTGTCAGTAACACCCAAAATAAATTAAAATGGGAGCAACTTCACAAGATACTTTGAACCTAATTGACAATGCCACTTGTATGAAATTAATCATGTAATGTGCCCTTATCCTTGGATTATAGTCAATTATTATTATAACCTAAATTAAGCAAACTTTTGAAGATGAACCGAACATGCACAAATAAAACAATACATCAATGCAATAACAACCTCTTTTCAAATATGAAACAATAACAATAATGTTAATGATAATTACAAAATGAACATACCATAAATACTGGTGCTAGTGATCATGTCTTCAAGCCTAAAAGCAAGAGGAGAGGGGAAAAACAGCAGAGTCGGAATTTTCACGAGGAGGAATTCCAAAGGTTGCTTCTCATTACAGGCACTTTTTCCTCAGCTAGCCTATCCGATTTCACAACTTAAAAAACGCACGGTCCCTTGTTCTCTCCTCAGGTATTCATTAAGGTCGTGTAATTAAGGAAAAGGCAAACTAGCGGAACGCAACACGAGAGTAAAATGAAATACAATTTAAAAATAAATAAATAAAATAAGACGAAAGAGAGCCCTGGACGGAGACGCGAGAGCCACAAAGACACGGCTGGACCCTGTCACTTCTTGCGCGAGTTGAAACAAGAGGATGGGAAACATGTGAGAGACTGTAGATGACATAAAACACACATTCTCTTCCTATTAGAGGAAGAGGCTAAACCAGCGTGATGCCCCCCTCCTCCCTTTACTTTTAAAATAGATTACTTGCCAGCAGTTGTCCCACTAAGAGCGCAACGACAACCCATCTATAAACCCCCGCCTGCGGTTATCGCGGCAAGTTTTATTCAGGCTGACATGCAAAAACTTCTTGTTGCAGGAAAGTTATTTAAGCCGTATACCTATTTGTAACCATCTCCTCAAAGTGAGAGAGAGTAAAACAGTAATTGCGAAGTCGTTCTAATTCCGGAACTTCACAGCCTTTATTTTGTCTTTTCTAAATCGATGACAAGTAATTTTTGCTTCGGTAAACGCAGAATGACTGGCCACTGACTGCGCTGCAGCTCTGTGATGCGCGACAGCGGTCTCCCAGCGAGCGTTTGCGCGTACATGGGGGCTGCTGCTCCGTTTCTCTTTTTTAATTGTCAACATCACTGATAGACAGGATAAGGCTTACCTGTGTAGGTGGCAGGGCAGCGTCGGGTGTTTATAGCACCATCGATCCGGTGAGCGGTGCAGATGAATGGCTCTCTGAGGTTAAGCGCGGCTGCTCGCGATTTGAAACCATTCCAAGTTAGTGAGGGGAAGACTGACCACAGCCTCTGCCATGTTGGAATTCCAAACCCTGGACAGCTGCTCCACTGACTGAAAACAGCACGCTGCACACTGCGCATGTTCACTGCGGGGGGAGCCAAATTCAAAGAGAATCAACCTTAATAAGCAGCAGCTCACAAGAGGCCTATCATGACAAGATTTAGCTGTAGGCTATTTGATGTATTAGCAGTTTAATTGTACTGTCTGCATGCACTACAGGGGAGTGCCTGCTGCTGCCCAGTAGCCTACTGTAGGTTATAACCTATAATCTGATCTGCTTGGCACAAACAGAGGTTCATAGGCCTTCTTTGTATGAGAGTATATGGACACATTTCTCTCTATGTTATATTTATCTGTATATTCTTGTATTTAGGACTACATTGTTGTACTTTGCTTCTGTTCTGAAGCTCTATTAAGAACTGCCTGTTTGACATGCGGAAATTATTTGCTTTTCTTGAAGTTAGAGTTAAAACGAGAAGATCGATACAACATATCCACCCACTAAATATGAAGCCACAGCCATTAGCTCTCTAATTAGCTTAGCATAAAGACCGGAAAAGGGGAAACTGTAACTTATGGTGGTGGTTGAATTGCAACCTAACGAAAGATTCCAGATTCCTTCGCATAAACCCTGTAAAATCACAATTTGTTATTTATGCTATTTGTGTTTTGTATGGATTATACAAACGAGATATATTGTCTTAATTAGTGAGCTTTAGAGGTAAGCTACTGTTCTGTGAGTTTTGTTACAGTGCTGTCCTTTCATCACTTTCCAGGAAACTTAACAAACGTGATGTCTTGGCCTCAGGTGAAGATGCCAACGATGGTCATTCAGAATGGGCCTCAGGTGGTTCTAACAACCATAATGACTGTTGTTACTACAGCCAGGAGCACTAAAGAACCAGTGGTGTCGATGATCCTGGCAAATGACCCCACAGAGGTTAAATAGATGAGTTTCCCTACTAGTCAGTCAGAACTGAAGAAGTCTCTTGGATGAGGGACGAAATGTCTTCAAGTATCTTCAACCAAGTCCAGTTGCCCTTGACTTTAACCTTCTTTGGGTAATCTTCAGATAGCCTACAGCTGATTCCCGTCTTTATGTTAACAACAGCCGACTTTAGCTTCATATTTACCCAACAAATGTAAAAGTGGTATTGGTCTTATCAATTAAAGGATAATTTCAGTATTTCAGTAAGAAAGGGGTGTTACTGGGTGTCACTTATTGGGATCCTTTCCATGATGTTGTCAGCCAACTGATATAACAGTCTGAGCCTGCTGGTGGGAAAAAGATGCCCTTGTGGACATAATTTTGATGAGCGCAATTGCCCAACAGGAATATGTTGCAGCCACTGCAGACAGTTTGCGGCTGCCGGCTGAAGACATCTACTGCACGGATACTAAAACTTCTTGTACCTACTCATTTCGACACCAAAAGAAATGTGAAAATAAAGCCCATGTTTAAAAATACAGAAATAACCCTTTAACTCAGCAAGAAAGAAAATAATTGTTTATTCAAAAATGTACTATCGCTTTAAAGGGATTTTGTCAGAACACTTAATTGTAATTATTAAAAAAAAAATCCTTGTTTCATTCACTGATTGGCACACACTTCTGCAGGTCATTCCCAGCCACTCTCTGTTATCTGTACACGGCCTTGAAAGAGGGGCGGTGATCTCCTTTGGGGAAGCGATGTGCAAAGACCCTGGTTAGACACATGAGGATTGGCACCGCAAGTCGAAGTCGCATCATGCCCTCTCATATCCATACCCAAGGCCCTAGGAGTGATGCATTGATTCAGCCTTCAGTGCTCCCTTGACTGCACCATGCAAATTCCAACTGTTTGAAGAAATCCTTCCCAAAAGTAACACAGTAACAGTTTAAGCTAATTCACTCCATTCACTGCTAATGTCCAGAGTTAGCAGAGTGTTTTTTGTTTTCACCTCTGTAATTATTTCCATACCTTGTTGTATACATTGCTAGTGTGAAAGAAAAGCTGAGCATTTTGAGACAAAAGCAATTGCAGATTCTGTCAAAACTATCCAAGATTTATTTATTTATTTATTTATTTATTTTATCATAATAACAGTGTGTGTTTGATTTCATTTACTCGGCTGCTAATTACGTGAGGATGCGAGTGCTCATCATCATTTTCTAACCATTGTGGAAAAATGTCCTGTTAATACTCCGCTGACTCGACCAGAAGCGAGTGTCCACGCTTGTAGGAACAGCCTGTGAAAATCTCTGTGTGCTGTGGAGGTCACGTTGAAAACAACAGCAGTGCATTTCCAGGTGTAGCCACGTCCATTGTCTCCTTCCTCATATGGGCATGTTCAGTCTGTGCTTTTGTCCTTGTGTCAGCAGGCAGGACATTCTAAATTATTTTGCTCAGCTGCCTCCCTGAACTCTTGCTACAGCACGTCAATACACACATCATGCAGACACCCGCACATACAGCTACAGGGATCACAGTTCATGTCCATCACACACTTGAATCCTCCTTGACACAGATCAAACCTCGAGGAATAAAAAGTGAGCAAGTTGCTATGATTTGGTGTCAGGCAATTTAAGATCAAAATTTCTGATTGTGGATTTTACAGTGTCCAAAAAGATTAAACGCTGTAAGATTAAATGGATGAATTTCTGAAAAACAACATCTTCACCTTAAATCCCCTGAAGGAAGCATATCAGAATATTTTAGAGATGAATATCAGGTTATATTTTTTTTATTACACCTGAAATGAGTAATCTCAGTTTAAGATAATAAAAACTTAATGAATAGACACTTGCAGACATCCCCTTTCTGGTCCTGAGCACACACATAGTGGATTTGTTCATTTCCCCAAGAATGAGGTTAGGGGTTTGCATGGCACGTGACTGGCTGTTTTTTAACCTTCTGCCCACAGACTCTTATGTCATGTGTGATCATTTCAGCAATGTTGCTGGGCGTTTATTGTTTCTGCCATGAAACACTGACTTCTGGGAAACTGGCTGCATCGTGCCTTATCTCACAGGAGCATGCATCTTGATGCAACTAAGGATGTTGGTTTCCCCCTGATCAGTGGCTTGTAGAATTATTAGCTCATCTTTACAGTCGTTGTCATAAAACATTGTGTAATATTAATAGCAGGTAGCATAAATTTTTTACCAAAATAAAAATGGATATTGAGTCATTTCACTGGAAACGAAAAGTATTCTTCTCCCTCTCTCAAACTGTGTTTATATTTCCTATCATTACACAGCTTAACCAAATCCGATTTGGGGCTTTCATTGAGTAATGCTGTAAATAACATAGTTTGCCGAGACGCTGCACTGTATCTCTGGGCTATCAGAGGCAATGATTCGAACCAGGAATAGAAATCTTTCAGTAGAAATAATACACACACAGGCTTAAAACACTGCAGTCTAGTAAGAGCAATGAAACATTTTTACTACAAAAGAGCACCAGCTATTAAAGAGAGAAAGATGTGCAAAGAGTGCAAAATTACAGGCTTGATTTCCTACATTATTTCAAGATGTGTATCCAAGTCTCTGTATAGACCAGGGCTACAATCCTAATAGGGACAAGCTTGAAGTGAATAGAGCCCATAGAGGATAAGCTACTAAATCTTGCAATAAAAGCAATGTGATTTACAGTAAATTCCACAAGGCTGACAGTGCCACAGCTGAGGGCATAAACACTCCTTTCAATGCTGCGCCTCAGTTCTGTCTGGTGTGAACTAAAATCACACAGGCATGCTGCTCAGCAGCAGTGACTTTGATAAATCACCAGGAAGTCCCACTGTTGGCTTAAAACTAGAACTTGTTCAGTTGCAATTCTGCATTTGTCCCTCTTTAATGTGTATGGAAGTGGCTTTAGCAGTAATCTGTCAGTGATTGATTTGGTGTGGCCAAATCCCCTCTTCGTTCTCCTCTACTGGCACACTGTTCAGCCACAGCTGTGTATTTACAGAAGGATGGCTGTATTAGGGAAGAGGCTGTCTTATTTACCTGAAACATAAACATAGTTACTTCCACTTGAGCAACTATACACACTAGGCCACCAGTAAGTTGGTTCTGAATTCATGCTCTGATGGATAAACAAACAGGCTTATAGTTTGTTTTGGGAAGAATAAATCAGATCTTAACCTGTCATCCTTGTTTGTAACGGTCAACAATACTACCAGTGTGAAGTCTGAACAGCAGAAAAAAGACTATTACACTAATATCTTAATGCAGCACAATCATCCTTTATCCTGAAACAGAAATGTATGTAAGTATTAAAACATATTTATTTTGTATGTGACACAAGAGGTTGAAAAAGCAATTTAGACAGGGTGCTGGATATTGATCACACTTACCAGCAGATCCATTTTAATTAAATATTAAGAGAGTGTGCTGCATTGAGAGTAACCGAGCAGCAACTGCTCCTTGCTTTTCTTTTGCCGTCATTTTAAAAAATTGTACAAACTAAAAAAGAAGACATGCTTTAATAACACTCACATGTAATTAGACTTGAAGTATTAAAGCAGCACCGGTTGTATCCAATGCATTTTGTATTCGAAGAATATTTCAGTTATTTTTAAAAGAAGGTCTGAGTATGAACATCCGTGCATGAATTTTAATGGAGATACTTAAATGGTAATTATTCCACTCAGGCTCAAACGTAGGTAACAAATGGAATTCAATCAGTGTCCGTGCATAATGATGGTCATTAGGAGAAAGAAAATAATAATGACATCCTATCTGCATTAAACCTGCAGACACTTTACACAATGATCCTGCAGCCATTATTGATCTCCATGGAGATAAGCAATTGTCACTTTTCAGCATTGTGCCTGAATGTTAAATACAGCTTTTTTTCCCTGCAAACTATTT